TACCATCCTGCCGTCCTATTTTTGCGGGGCAGTCAAACAGCCATATTATCAGCACCTATAGCAATCATTGGGCCAGGTGGAAGAGCAAGATGGAGGAATATATGTGCCACCGACCAGTAACTAGATAAATGAAAAAAATTATCCTGCAAGCCAAGAGAGAATTCAGGTGCGAGAGCTGCCCCAGGGTGTTTTTAAACGGAAACTGCGGCATGCATACGCGTGCTTACAAAAGGGCCTTGCCTAGGCCTCTTAGAGCCTGGTCGAACATTAGAACAACAGCAGTGTGCCGTTTCTAGCTGGTAGGGCTTCGGAAACATTAAACGAGAGTGACCGGTAGTGCCTAGGGCACAAAACATGTTTTCTTCCACTCACTTGATAGGAAATTAAGTTTTCTGCGCATTTTATGCTTGGAGAAAGGCTATATTTAGGTTTTGAAGAACTTTTCAAATTCCAGCATTATTTTGCGCCAGATTAGCTGTTGCACCTATGTTTAACGATTTCGGTCTGCAAGACGTATACTTTCCGCGTAGGGAAGATCATACAGTCCTTTACGTCTTCACGAAGATACCATGTAGAGTTCATAAAATTTTGCAATGGATGCGGCTTATGCTGTGTAGTTAATCAGTAGCACTAATGAACGGGCAGGTACGATGCTGTAAGAGTGGGCATTGCGCGGTCTTGAAAAATCTAATAATTGCAAACTTTTTGAAATCTAAAGAGAAGCTTTCCTTGATTATAATATATCAAGATAACGTGATTTGCTGCCAAATGAATAAAAGCAGATATATTTTCGTGCACGTTTTCTATAAAATTTACTTGAATTTATAAGGCCATCAAAAATCAATGCAAAAAGTGCATGCTAATTACAGTGCATGACCGATCTTATGAAATGTTCTCCGAAATTCTGAAATGCGTTTTCAAATAGGAGGGATTACTTAGGTGGATTTGTAATACTGATTAACTTGTGTCATGTTGCAGTTCAAGTGTCTGCCACCCTGCAACACATTTCTGGCTTTGTGGGTTCCACGGTCTATCCTAGTCCGCCCTACCAACTGTGGCCCCAAAGATAGACTCAGCAGATACCATGCCCACAGTCTTTTCTCCAGACATCTCGAGCGCCACATTTGATTGGTTAACTTCCTAACTTGTAACGCAATTTAACTGACTAGATTGAGTTTTAAAATACAATGGTTCTGCAGTTTGCCGTCAAATTTCCGTGGATCTTTGATTAATTCTTTATGGCATGCAGAGATAGGAGGTGGCTGAAGGTACAGCGGATGAGCTATCTCGTGAAATGTTGGCTGAAATTCTGAAATATGTTTCGGATTCGAGAATAATATTTACGTAGGGTTGTAGTAATAATCACTGTAAAACATAATCTTAAGTCATTATAGTTCCATCGGTCTTTGAAAAAGTCTCTTACCGGTCGTCTGATAAACCTGTACTCTGTAGAAAATTAATACTTATATAGTATGAGATTTTCCCGCTGATGTCCGACAGGACGAGCATATCTCCTAACTAGGTTGTCGAGCACTACTTAAACATAATTAATATTCCCGATCACAAACGACAGGACAACGAGCCCCTGGCTCATTGGTAGAGCGTTCGACTCAACGACCAAAGATCCCGAGTTCGAGTCTCAGATGGTTCGCACTTGGGATTGGGCATAACTGCCTGACTATTCCCGTCTCCATTGTCTTTGTCGACACCCTATTATCTAACGATCTCGTGAAATGTTTGCTGAAATTCTGAAATGCGTTTTCGATTAGGAAGGATTATTTAAGCGCGGTTGCAAAACTGATTTTCTTGCGGCATAATCCTATAATATTTCGGACTCGGTAGGATGTCAGCTTTTGAGTACATTGCCTTTAGATCTCCCTTAGAAACCGTATTCGGTAAGAAATGGCTACTTACGTAGCATGCATTTTTTCACATTGATTTTCGATAGTCTTGCAAATCTAAATATATTTTATGGAAACCACGAACACAAAAAGCATTCTTTCAGTCGTCTGATAGAGAATAACGTTTTCTTTATATTTTATGCTCGAATAAAGGGTATAATTAAGTTTTGAAAGAGTTTATAATTATAAGATTTTTCAAGACCGTGCAAAGTCCATTCATACAGCATCGTACATGTCTGTTTACCACTGCTCCTCATTAAATGTACAACAGGGTCCGCATCCAGTGCAAAATTTCATGGATCCTTTAAAGACATGGAAGAATATGGGATTTTCTTTACAGGGAACACATGCACATTGTATACTGAAATCACTAAGCCCTAATGCAACAGCTGACCAGCCACCAAATCATTCGAGAATTAAAAAACTTTTTAAAACCCAATTATACTCCTTCTTCAAGTATACGATATAACGATGGCGTGATTCTCTATCAAATGAGTAAAAGACCGACTGCCGTTACAGGCCACATCCATGTGTATTTATTCATTCACCTGCTCCTGTGGAGCGGGATATATTGGTCGTACAACCAGGCGTCTGGAAAAGAGAATACGCGAACACATGCCTGCCTGGCTAGGTAGAGGTGAACATCGATCGATTTCGAGTTCAATTCTCGCACATCTAATCGATACGAACCACCAAGCCGACGCTAAAGAAGCTTTTAAAGTTATCTACCGGTCCCTGGCAGACTACTCTAAAGGCCTGCGCAAACGGGTGCTAGCCACAGCCGAAGCAGTGGCCATTCGACTGACGAGCCCAGCACTCTGTTGTCAGAAGACGCTGACACAAGCAGTCTGTCTGCCCTGGTCGACTCCAGACAAGGATCGCACGCCGTCCCGACACACTGAGAGCAGTCACACGCACTCACAGCGCCTACAATCTAACCGGAACCCCTCTACTTCCCCCCCTCCCTCTCCAACTCCTTCTCCCTCCCCTCCCACTCCAACTCCATCGTCCTCAACACGCTGACGCCGTCATGCGGGCGGCGTGGGAACATGGAGTTCGATTAACCCAGCTCCCGAGACGCATTTATATCCTGTCGACAATTAGACTGATCATTTCCCTTGTAATTGTACAGGCCTGCTGAGAAATTACCGAAAGCATGTGCTAGCCAACTGACTTTTCAATCGTAATATGGGAATTTTCGCAGAACAGAAAGCACTTTTGTTCCTGTTTTTTATGAAATATATTTGGACTTATAAGACCGTCGAAAATCAGTGTGAAAAATACGTGCTACTTAAGTAGTCATGCTTTATCGAGTACGGTTTCTACAGGAGGTCAATAAGAAGTACATTCAAAAGTCGACATCCTGCCGAGTCTGAAATTTTATAGGATTATGCCACAAATTAATCAGTATTACAAATCCACCTAAGTAATCCCTCCTAATTGAAAACGCATTTCAGAATTTCGGCGAACATTTCATGAGATCGGTCACGCACTGTAAGTAGAAATCTTTCACCGAGTGTGGTTTTTTTCAGGAGGCCGAAGAGAAATACAGTCAGAAGTCAACATTCTAGCAAGTCCACAATATCATGAGATTATGCTGCGTGATAATTAATACTACAAACCCACCAAAGTAATTTTTCCTAGTCGAAAAAACGTATTTCAGAATTCCAGCCAACATTTCATGAGATCGGCTACTGATTGTGTCAGTTTGACGATGTCGGCCGTGTACTCCACCCCAGGTGAGACCAGACACGGTGACTTGCGCGTGATTTAGTTTACTGTGATAGTGGACTTGCGCTGAGTCTACCGCACTCTCTCCTCTTCCCTCGGTTGGACCCGATGTCAAGACAGCGTCAAGAAGACCGGAAGGGGGGGAGGGCGCAGGTGGATGGCACGGTCGAGCCCACACCTTGGAGCTCCACTCCACAGTCCCTTATCCACACAGCAAATGACCAGGTTTTTGACCAATGGGGGGGGCAGCAGGGTTCCCAGTGTGCGCGACGTCTGTCGGCAACCGGGTCTGCCACCGCACCCCGAAATGTTGGCCTTTGCTATGGTGTACAATCCGATAACGCCTGCCAGGATCCGATATGGTCCCCGTGTTGATCCAGCGCATCTACCACGTAGCCCGTTTGGGGGACACCCAAGCACACTTACGTCGGGCCACAAATCGAAAGTCGCCCGACTCTCAAGGGTCCACATTGCCTCGACTGAACGGGGGGCCAGTAATAGTAGTAGAAGTCGTAGTGGTAGTAGTGGTATTGGCTGTGGTTGTGGAAATAGTAGTAGTTGTGGTGGTGATAGTAGTAGTAGTAGTAATAGCAAGAGTAGTAATAGTAGTAGTAAGATTAGTAATAGTAGTAGTCCAGGCCAGGCCAAGCAACATTTCCAGGACGAAGTCGGAGAGGCGGACTTTGCGCCATACAGGCGGAGCGGATGACGCGGATCCGGCGGGATCAGAGGCACGTCGTCGCCGTCATCGTCGTGCCTCTATGCTGCCGTCTCCCCTCTACCACCGCCGATGACTGCTGGTCGCGGTGGTACAAAACCTCGATTCGTCTGACTGCACTGTGAAGAGGCGTAGAGGCGCCGGTTGGGACTGTCACTCTGCAGAGGCTATCCCGCTCTTTGAACCGTTTGGAACTCCGGGCCAGGCCAGGCTTAAGGTCAGTAACCATCAAAGATCACTGACTGTGCGAACAGGGCAATCTACAATTCACCAGTCCTGGTGACGGTGTGTATGGTAGGGACGTAAACGCCGAACGTTCTGGGTAAGTTGCTGATTTTTGCAGACTCACATTTGTACCTAGACTGAGGCCCTGTCACATGATATGTCAAAACAAACTTGGTCCTGGATACCAAGGTGGAAACTTGCCGGGGGGTATCTTTTTCACTTAGCGCGTGCGATTGCAGTCTGCGTAAACCGGGTATTCTGTGGTCTGATTGGCTGGATTTTTGCTCTCAACAAAACACCCCCCCCCGCGTAGCATGTTTTGTGGACCTAAGGACGTGAGATTAGGACCTAGTATAAATCATCTTGTTGATAGGGCGCGCTTTCTGATTGTGAACTTAATTGACGCTACTGGAGTAAGGTGGATCATGATGCCCCGTTTTATTTCGTCTCCTCGCATTTGGCTCTCCCTGCTGGCATTGGGGGCAATTCTAAAGGTACTCAACGAGGTCTACTACACAAAACGTTGGGTCCTGACTGCGGCAATTCGCCTCCCGTCAACAGCACAGAACTTTGACTGGACTGGTGGCAGTGAAAGGACACGCGATGGTACCTACGAGCTCAACTTCCGCTACCGTTTGGATCCGCACCTCCGTGTAGCCCGATACGCCACATTTCCTCTTGATCTCATCCACAAGAAGGGCGGAAGTGGTAATATCAGCTATGCCGAAATGGCCCAGATAGATGATACCGACTGGAAAAGACCAATCCATCCGGATGTCTTCCTTCTGTATCCACAGGCTCTTGCATTGCGGGAGGTTATTAGGAAGTACAGACAGACGGGGTCAGTGCCTGAGGTAAGTGAATATTCAGCATCAGAATTGACGCCTGCTTTGTCGGCGAGAGAGAGACACACGCAAACGCATTACAGTCACCTGCCCTGTCTACTCATTAGGCATTAAGGAAGTGCAGTAAGTGGGCTAACTCATGAAATGCCAACCGAAATTCCGAAATGCGTTTTCGTTTCCGAAAAGATTAATTAAGTAGGGTTGTAAAACCAATCATCATGCATTATAATTCTATAATAATTCCATTACTCCAGGACGCCGGTCCTAGAACAAACTTCTTTCCGGCTGCATCTAAAAACCATACTCTACCCGCATTCTCTGTCGTTCATCCTCACATATAAACATGTATAGATATATACAGTAGGTGAGCTCTCTCAAGAAATGTCAACCGAAATGAGTCTTTGTTTCGAAAAGATTAATTAAGTAGGGTTGTAAAACTGGACAGCTTGCAACATAATTCTATAATATCTCAGTTTTCTCTGGATGCCGGCTTTCGAATGAACTGCCTTTCGGCTGCATGCAGAAACTACACTCTGTAAAAAAATGACTACATAAGTAGCGTGCATTTTCTCAATAATCTTTGATGCGCGTTCGGTAGATAATTATGTCTTTTTCTAATTTTTTGGTCGAAGGAGGGACATAATCCAATTTTAAAAAAGTTTCTAATTGTGGGACTTTTAGACAACGTAAAATGATTTTTCATATATCTAATTTCTCTGTATTTACCAATGTGGCTTGTAAAGTTAACAATATGTATCAAATCCGCTGCAAAATTTTATGAACCCCATATGATTCCCTTTTATTATCGTAGAGAAATTTGTGCTTTTCCGTACGCGGAAAATATACGGCTTGTAGTTTGGGAACTCTAAATCCATGTGTAATGGTAGATCGGGTTCAAAATTATTCGGAAATTGGGAAACTTTTTTAAAATCTAAACATGCACTTTCTTCGGGTATAAAATATAAAGACAAAGTAATTTTTTACCAAACAAGTAAAAGGAAGCATAATTTGTACATGTTTTCTATAAAATATATTTTTATTTACACGACCATCGAAAATCAAGAGGAAAAATGCATTCTAATCAAGTAGCCACTGTTACCGAGTTTAGTTTCTTTATGAGGTCAAAAAGAAGTACATTCAAACGCCGACATTCTGGCGAATCCAAAATACCATGGGCTTGTGCCGCGCGCCGAACAATATTACAATCCCATCTAAGTAATCCTTCCTAAAGGAAAACGCATTACATAAGTTTGGCCAACATTTCATAAGATCGGTTACGCACTGTAATTTCACATGGGGAGATTTTCGAGTTTAATCTTTTTTTAACTATACATTATATGCCCTATCTCATGAAATGTTAGCCGGAATTCTGAAATGCGTTTTAGATTCGAAGAGACTACTTTGTGAGGGTAGTAATAATGATTGTTGTATGGTATGATCCCAAAATAATCGAGTAGTGTTATGGTAACGGCTTTTCAACGAGATTCTTTCTGGAAACCTGCAAAAACTACGCTCCGTAAATAATATATATTTTCCCCGTTGATTTTCGATGCCCTTATAAATTCCGATATACTACATACATTAAAAATATGGAGGAAAGTATTCTCTCTTATATTCAACTGGTAGTGGATTGTGTCTTCTCTACATTTTTAAACTTGAAAAGATAATATCTTTTGCTTTAAAAGCTTTTAACTATGGATTCCTTAGGACCGTGAGATGTCCAATCGTACGACATCGCATCGTCAAGTTTATCAATGCTACCTATAAATTATACGACCTGGCCCATATCCACCGCACATTTCTATGAATCCTATCTGACGTCTGCCCAGTAGTATAAAAAGCATGTAGTATAGATTCCTGGATGCAAGTGTAACGGCATATGGAGCAAAAAATTATTCGGGAATAGAAAAGGTTTTTGAAAGCCGAAAGATATTCTTTCTTCAAGGACAAAATTAGAAAGAAGACATAGTTTTCTACCGACTGAGTACAGGGTAGAATATTTTCGTAAAGTATCGCCGGATTTATAAGGACATCGAAAATCGATTGAAAAAATTCATACTATGTGAGTAGTCATTTTTCACTGAGTATAGTCCCTGCAGACGGCAGAAAAGAGACTCATTCAGAAGCCTGCATCTCGAGGTGACTGAAATATCTTAAGGTTATGTCACATGATGATTAGTATTACAACCTTACTATAGTAATCTTTTCTAATTGAAAACATGCTTCAGAGTTTCGGGTGTCATTTAATGAGATGACACATCCCCTGTACCTTAAGCACCACCGATGGCGTAGTAAGAACTCGAGTTATCGGATGTGGCGGAGAAGGACCATTTGTCCGATGGGCATCTTTCTTCCATATTTTCGTTAACTTTTTCCAAGATTTCGGTGGCCTAACGGTTTATGCGACGTAGACATGCTATATGACGAAATGTTAGCCGGAATTTGTGATGTATTTCAAGTTCGAGAAGATTACTTAAGTGTGGTTGTCACGTTAATTATCATGCAGCATAATCCTAGGATATGCCAGTCGCGTCAGGATGCCGGCTATTTATCGACTGCCTGCGCAAACACTACATTCCGTCAAAAACGACTACTTAATTGGTATGAATTTTCCCCCTAGATTTTCGACGCCCTTATAAACTAAAGTCCGTTTGGCTAGATCGCAGTTGGTAGTCAGGAATGGGGAAGCGGATGACGACCTTAACCCTAACCCTAACCTCAACCTTAAACGTTAACCGTCAACCCTAACGACAACCTTAACCCGAACCCCAAACCTGACCGAAACCGCAAACGTAACCGTAGCTCTTAGACATAGTCGTAAATGAAAAACTTAACCGTAATACTGAAACCTAATCGTACGCTCAAATCCTAACCGTGACCCAAAAACCAGAGCCTAAAGGCATAACCCTAACCCAAATATCGGAAACAATTAGCCAGTATCCTAATCCTAACCTCAAACGTAAAACGAAAGCCAGATGGGTCGGGCGTGATTATGTAGCCCCACAAAAAGCCCCAGCAAACAAACCCCCAGCCACCTGTAATACCGGGCCTGGCTACCAACTGCGATCTAGTCGTCCGTTTTATAGAAAAAATGCACAATAATAGTCTTTCTTTTATTCATTTTATAATAAATTTCGTTTTCTTGAAATGTTAGGCTCAAAGGCAGATTGCCATTCGGTCTCAACAAGTTTTCCAATTCCCGATTAATTTTGAACCCGACCCGCTGTTACACTTGCATTTAAGGATTCCAAACTGCAACCTCTATGCTTTCCGTGTAAAGAGAATTATATATTTCTGCACGCTTTTAAGAAGGCGTCACGTTGGGCTCATAAAATTTTGTGATGGATTTGGACCCTGTTGTCCACTTTAAAAGCAAAATGAGTAAATCTGCTGATGCGGTGCTTTATGATTGGACATTTCGCGGTCGTGAAAAATTAAATAATTAGAAATTCTTTAAAACCAAAGATACGCTTTTTTCAAGCACCAAGTCTGAAAAAGACGTAATTTGCTACCAAATGAATAAAATAAGAATATTTTATGCATGTTTTCTATAAAATATATTTTGATTTATGAGAGTACCAAAATCTACGGGGAAGATTCACACTGTTAAGTAGTCTTTTTTGACGGAATATAGTTTACGCAGTTGGTCGACAAAAAAGCGCGTTCGAAAGCTGGCATCCTGAGGTAGCGACTGAAATAGTATGACGCACGACGGTGCGACAGAGTAGGACGCAACGCCCAGTGTACTGACAGAACTGAGGAATGTAGTCAGAATCCCAGTATCCTTAATGAGGGTGTACAGTGGATTTCATTCTAATCGGGATTGTCTTGCCGATTATCACCGTCAACACTTACAGAATCTCACATCACGCCAGGTCAGGCATTACAGACGTATAGAAAAACTTTTAAATTCCCCAATAATTTTGAACCCAACCAGCCGTTACACTTGCATTCAGGATTTCCAACCTACAAGCAGTATACGTTCCGCGTACGGAAAACCACACATTTCTGTACGGTTATAAGGGGTGACCGTATAGGGTTCATAAAATCGAGCAGTGGATTTGAGCCACATTGTTAACTTTACAAGCCACACTGGTAAATGCAGAGTCATGACGTTTTATGAAGGGCCATTTCACGGTATTAAAAAATCCCACAATTAGAACCCTTTTTAAAACCGAATTATACCCTTCCCTCAAGTGTGAAATTGAAAGAAGACGTAATATTCTACTGAATGAGCAAAAGAATGAATATTTTTATGCATGTTTTCCATGAAATGTATTTGAATCTTTAAGGACATCGAAAATTAATAAAATATGCGTGCTAATTTTGTAGTCATTTTTTACAGAATATGGTTTTTAGATGCAGCCGGAAAGAAGTTTGTTCGAAAGCCGGCATGCTGGGGTAACTGAATTATTTTAGAACCATGCTGTGCGATGAATGGTTTTATTACACTACTTAATTAATCTTTTTGAAACGGAAACGCATTTCGGAATTTCTGTTGATATTTCATGAGTTCGCCCACCCATTGAAATCTTTTTTTGACGGAATATAGTTTTCACAGGTGGTCGACAAAAAAGCACGTTCGATAATTGGCATCCTGATGGATTTGGACCATGTTGTCCACTTTAAAAGCAAAATGAGTAAATGTGCTGATGCGGTGATTGGACATTTCGCGGTCATGAAAAATTCAATAATTAGAAATTCTTTAAAACCAAAGATACGCTTTTTTCAAGCACCAAGTCTGAAAAAGACGTAATTTACTACCAAATGAATAAAATAAGAATATTTTATGCATGTTTTCTATAAAATATATTTTGATTTATGAGAGTACCAAAATCTACGGGGAAGATTCACACTGTTAAGTAGTCTTTTTTGACGGAATATAGTTTACGCAGTTGGTCGACAAAAAAGCGCGTTCGAAAGCTGGCATCCTGAGGTAGCGACTGAAATAGTATGACGCACGACGGTGCGACAGAGTAGGACGCAACGCCCAGTGTACTGACCGAACTGAGGAATGTAGTCAGAATCCCAGTATCCTTAATGAGGGTGTACAGCGGATTTCATTCTAATCGGGATTGTCTTTTCGATGATCTGATGAATTCTAGGTGAATTACTTAGGAAATCCTGCTTGGGCAGTCAACTTACTGTATCAGATTTGGTGGATTCCAGACTTTGCAGTAGGTTGGGCGGGTAACTTGACCCAAATGTGATTAAACTTGCGTCGTCCGGCGGGGCCTCGTAGCTCAGGTGGTTAGAGCGTTGGCTGCGCTAAAGCCTTCCCCTTACTACGTGGGTTCGAATCCCACCGAGGCGCCGAGTTTTTCACAGTTGGGTCAATATGAATTAGTCAAAATCTGCCAAAATATCAATGGATTTTCGATGATCACCTCCAACACTTACGGAATCTCACATCACGCCAGGTCAGGTATTACAGGCGTATAGGGTATTATATGAGGTAAACAGACAACAAAAATAGCTGGGTTTATCAACCCTAGTACCAAAGCGGGAACTTTACGAGAAAGTGATAAGGTTATCGATAAATAGTTACTTAACGAGTGTTCAACGATTCGTAACTCTCTACACGGGACTTCGGAGGCGCGGTTTATGAAAAAGTAAGAACTCAATCAAAATAGTTGTCGTCTAAATGAACAATGGGAAAGGGCCCCGTCTGAGCTTCGGTTGTTACACAAAGGCTGTGTGCACACGAGCAATCGCGCCGTCCGATCGATGGGCCTGTCAAAGTGCACTCATTCGTTTGCCTTGCAACTGTCGACTAATTAATTCACGGCCTTGATTTCGATGTAAACATCCGGTCTTGTTAATATGGTTATAAATGGGTGCCGAAATAAATACCACAATATTGACAGAACTACTAATATTCTCCCCTTTCCGTCTCTAATTTTCGCATTAGTGGTAACTAGACCATATAAAAGTATCTTAGCACATGCTTCAAAGTAAACTTAGCCATTTAATGGAGGGCCTTTTCGCGGCAGGTTATGGAGTATTCGCAGAAGTAGGCAAACATCGGGACGTTCAAACAAAAGATTGCCTGTAGGCGTTATTACAGCGTGTAAGGGCATAAAGTCAAACAGATGTGTAAATTCAACCTTTCATAAAGTTTGCACTCAATTCAACGTCAAGTATGGCGGTTAGCCGACCTGTACAATTCGAGTAAAGATTCAGAAACGATTTCACAGGAGTTGGCTGCAAAGTTTTAAACTTAACTTGCTGTTACAATTCCAGTCGTGGTTTCCAAACTACAAGATGTATGTTTTCCGTGCAAGGAAAATCATACATTTCTATATGCTCTTAGGAATATACCGTATGGTGTTCATAAAATTTTGCCGTGGAGTTGAATCATATTGTGCACTAGCATAAACAAATACAGTGTTTTAGGAAAAAGAAAAAATACAGACAACCGGAGATAATATCGTTCAAAAGCCACAACCCTGACCCGCCTGAGGCATCTTAGGCTCATGCTATACGATAATTAATTTCACAACCCTACTTAAATGGTATTAGTAGAATGGTATTACCGAGGAAGACAAGGGAGACTGGAATGGCCATTTCTGGCTCATTAACCGTCGCCAGCTAGCCGATTGGGACGAGTTCCGTAACGTGATCGGTGAGCGCCCCTTCAGCATCCCTACTGTAAAGCACACAGTGGACATCGTCGGAAGCGACGGTCGAACTGTCATATATATCCGACCACAACCGACAGGGCTACGAACCCCTGGCTCAGTGACTAGAGACGTTGAGCATCTAACAGGTCGCGAGTTTGAACCCCAGGTGCTGCCCACCTCCGCATTGGGTATGACTGGCTGACGACGGCTAATAAGCCACATATAACCATTCCAGTCCCCCTTTTTCTTGCCGGTAATGCTGTTCTGCCAATATTACATGCCGCCATGCGGCTGTTGGTGGGGCTTGAAAGAGAGGACTTCAAGGCATAATGGGACGAGTAGGTTTCGCAACACGATTGATGAGCGGCCCTCTACCATTAAGTAGTTTTCCCGAATCAAAACCACATTTCAGAATTTTGGTTAACATTTTGTGAGATAGCACAGTTACTGTGGGCTGATACAGCACGACAAACATTTATTCAGCCCTCTGAAATTACGGCAAATTTGATCAGTATAACCTGCGAACTTAATTACATTCGGAGCTCGCATTTCGCAAGCATGCTCCACTTTACCCGCTGATGACATTTCAGCAGTTTCCTCGGTAAGTGTTCCTCTTGCTTCGAAAAACGTAACCTCACAGTACTCGAGACATCTCGAATTCCCCTGATGCATCTGAATCCTAAAGGGTTTCTTCTTGGTCCTTTATAGACCCCAATCAACAACCCCGCTATAAAGTTACTCCAAGTTAGTACTTCGGTTTGTCCTCCGGATGGGGTTAGTGTTGATGACCGCCAGCACCACCATGATCTCGTGGTAATTGTGAAGTCCGCCGTCTACAATTTCGAGGACAGACAAACCCTCCGGAGACTCTACGCCAACCTGAGGAATGAGAGCAGCGAATTTCGTATAGGGGTTGTGTTTGTCGTGGGCTTACCCGCCAGCTCACGTGGCAATCTATTCCAGCGTGATGGTTTCGACGTCTATCTACCCGGCCGGGCCGGCAACTCTCTCCTCAACAATTGGAGACGGCCCGCCCAGATTCGGATTCGACTGGAGGAGGAGATGCGCCAACACGATGATCTCATCGTGGGCGACTTCGAGGACACCTACTACAATCTGTCTCTCAAGATGCAGCACACCTTCGTCTGGGCGGCGCGGTTCTGTCGCCCTGGACGTCCTGGCTTCATGTTCCTGGACGACGACTTTGCCTTCAATGAGACCGGCCTCCTGGCCGCTCTCGCCCGTCTTCCGGCCGACTGGCGACGGACAGTTTCCATTTCGAACACTCGCTGGAACAGCCCCACAGTGCGTCCCGGCGATTCTGCCGCATTTCGGAAGTGGGCTCTCACAAAACGCGAAATTCCCTGGCCAATGCATGCGCCGCACATCAACGGTCACTTCTACATGCTTGGTTACGATCACGTTGACGACCTGGCCTTGGCCATGTTCTTCACCAAGCGCATTCCCATTGACGATGTCTGGTTGGGTTTGGTGATGCACAGGCTCGGTCTCCACTTCCACCTGCCAGCTGGGATCGCCTACTCCTCGGCAGAACGAAAAGATGTCAGTAGATTTATCGTCTCGCCCCTCAGATCCTTCCTCAGTGCAGCTATGCAGAACCAAGCTGCATGATGGAACGATGGGGCAGAAGTCCGTAACCACGGCAGCAGAAAAAACTTCACCCAAAACCTAGACGGAGCCTGTATATTTCTGTGGTATTTTTGTTTTTTTTATCTACTTTTTAAAACCAATTCCGACAGTTTTACCAGCAGTTCTATCTGTTAAGCAGTTCTGCATAAAAAAGGACATAATGAGA